CTCGGCTCACTGCAACCTCTACCTCCTGGATTCAAGCTGTTCTCATGCCTCAGCTCCCTGAGTAGCTGGGACTACAGATACATGCCACCACGCCCTGCTAACTTTTATGTTTTTAGTAGAGATGAGGTTTCACCATGTTGGTCAGGCTGGTCCAGAACTCTTGACCTCAAGTGATCTGCCTTCCCAGCCTCCCAGAGTGCTGGGATTACAGGCACCTGCCTCCATGCCCAGCTGGCAGCTAATGTTTATTAAGTGCTCACTATACTCCTGTCAAGCACTATTATAATTCGTCTTTCCAACAGGCTTTTTATAAGGGAAGTACTGCTATTATGCCCATTACATAGATGGTGAAACTGAGGCACAGAGAGGCTGTGTAAGTTTCCCAAAGTCATGTAGCTACTAATTGATGAAGAGCCAGGGTTTGAGCTCTGCAGGAATGGCAGACTCCTTGTGGTCTGAGCCTGGGCTCCCTCTCCAGCTGCCTTTTCTCCCTGAGCCCTCCTGACTGCAGCCATGCCAGGCTTTTTTTTTCAATGTTCGGAACCCCAGCTCTAGCCTATCACTGGACTTCTGCCTGTGATCTTTCTGCCTGGAATGCCCATGCCCTGCTCTTGGTCTTTGCCTCCTGGCTCTATGCATGCCTTCAGACTCCTATCTGGCAGTGGCGTATGGACAGACCAGTGCATAGAAATCACATGAGACACTCGATAAATGTAGACTCCTAGGTCCTGACCCTGGAGATTCTGATCTAGCAGGTCTAGGGTGAGGCCCTAGATTTGCATGGGAAGTCAGGGACCACTGCTATTGCCTGCTGTTTTCTTGGGTGCTTGGCACACACTGTCATACTGAGACCAGCTCAGCCGTGGAGACCCCCACCCAGGCAGTGCAGAAGGTATTGAGAAGCAGACACCCAGATAGAACAGCAAAGTGGGACTGTCTGGGGGGCCAACAGCCTTCTGAGCTGAGACCCTCAGAGACTGACAGCATTCTGGGCTGAAGGTCCTGAGCAGACTCTGACCCGTGTATTTATTCTCTCATGTTTGGTATTTTCTCATAACACAAAAATTTACCAAGTAGGCAGCTGGTGCCCGCTTACCACTTATCACAGACAAACTAAAAAGTATTCTGCACAAGAGTGCCATGGGGGTAGGGTCAGATGTCCCGTGCTTAAAGAATAGTTTTAACTGGTGTATGATATTTATATATTGTCCTACCACTTTAGAATACCCCAAGTAGTTTTCTACTTGGTAGGGGAGGGGGGAGCTAGGTTTTCCTTGCCATCGTTCTTAACAAACAATATATTTTGCATACACTGAGCATTTCTCAGCAATCATACACTTAGAATTCCTCAACACTGTCACAAACAGGTTTTTATTTCTCTGTGCTCCATTCAAATGAGTAGGGGCAGTGTCTTTTGTTTCTGGAACCTGTCACTGGTACTACGTAGTAGGCACTCAGGAAATAGAAGGTTGCTTGAATCCTGGTACCAGTTGACTGTCTGCTTGGAAAGGCTAAATGGAAGAATGTGATGCCTAAGCAGCTTCTCTAAGCAGAGAACACAAAAGGTTTGCAAAATAGAATTTGCTCTCTAATCTATGTGTTCTTGCACAGCATTAAGCTTCCTAGGGATCAGGCTAGCCCTGAGTTGTATCGACACCAGCCACTAGAATGGTAACTTGATGCCAAGAGTGAATTCTGGTGAGCTTCATCGTGAGTAAGATTCTCAGTTTGATCATCTCTACCCAGATCCCGTGGGACATCCACACTGTATGAATAATGAGGAGGCGTGCAATACGTAGCATGCCGCAGTTGGCCAGCACCCAGTGTGTACTATGAGGTAATCAGTGTCAAATCAGTCATTGCAGCACGAGTTGGGAGTCAAAAGGAACAACAGAGAACCTCAAACTTCTCCTAAGAAAGGAAGCAAAGAACAGTTACCTTGTCTGTCATTTATGGGGCTGTCATTTGTAGTGTGTGTTTGGAATGCTGCTGGGTACTAGTATTAATACATGATTTTCTCTGGTCTTTACAATAACTGCCTGGGTTAGGAGTTATCATTCCCATTTCATTCATGAGTAGGCTGAAGTTAAGTGTCGTTAAGTACCAGTCAAAAGAGAAGAGAAGCCTGAGAGCGGTCTGGGCACCTGTTTCCCCTCCTCTTATTTATGAATGAATGAAGGAGACAGAGTTTCACCCTGTCACCCAGGCTAGGGTGTAGTGGCTCGATCTCAGCTCACTGTAGCCTCCATCTCCCAGGCTCCAGCAGTCCTCCCACCTCAGCCACTGTAGTAGCTGGGACTACAGGTGCATGCCACCACATGCAGCTAAACTTTTTTGTATTTTTTTTGTGGAGATGGGGTTTCACCATGTTGCCCAGGCTGGTCTTGAACGCCTGGGCCCAAGTGATCTGCCTGCCTCAGCCTCACAAATGGTTGGGACTACAAGCATGAGCCACTGCGCCCAGCCTTCTCCTCCCCTGGAGCTTAGACCCTGCTGCCTTTAGCCAGCTCCAAGACATTGGCCTTTGGTTCTGTCTTCAGGCTGAACTCTCTTTCAGGAAGTTTCTTAGTCCATCTTTGATAGAGTTGATCATATCTTAGTACCTACCTGCATGAGCACTCAAGATGTTACCTATTCCTAGTGACTTCTTTATTACTGCTGGAAGATACATTGTCCCACACCCAGGGATCCCACCCACTGTCCCCAGCTGCATGTGTCAATTATTGTGAGCTATTCAAGGGATACAGACTGAGGTAAATGAACCACTAAGAATGTGGATGTTCTATTACAGGAAATGCTTAGCTCTTTATTGTAGTTTTAGCCAGCAATCATGATAGCTCAGGGGCATAAAAATGAGAGATAGCAGCAGAGTTTATGATAGTCTTTATCACCTGGGATTCTGTATGTGCGCGTGTGTGCATGTGTGCTCTACACACATCCACAGGACATTCTCTTGAGGTAACATGATCATCAGACCTTGAGCTCTTTTATAAGCAATAGATTGTGACTGGAATTTGAAAATGTAGTTTCTGTAGCTAGAAAATACTCTTTTCAAATGCCGTATAGAACAGTAGTTCTCTGAGAGTGGTTCCTGGGTCAGGAGCCTTGGCGTCACTGGGAATGTGTTAGGAGTGCAGATTCTTGGATTCTAACCCACACTGAATTCAGATTTGGGAGCAGGACCCAGTTATCTGTGTTTTAATCACCCCCTCCTCCAGGTGACTCTGATATGCTAAAGCCTAGGTCTCACTCCCCTGGAAAGTGACACTTGATTCATCCACCAACCCATGGGCATCCATTAGGAAGATACTTATGGGACCTTCAGCCTGGGTTAGGTACCAGCTCTTGACCTATCTTTTTCTGAGGCTGAGGGTGTCCAGAGAAGTAGGTGTGTCTGCTTAGATGTTATTTAACCAAATAAAGGTTTACAGTTTACAGAAAAGAGTCAATATTGACTAATATCTTCCAAACTATGTTAAAAATAATTTATTCATGATGGAGTATAACTGAACAAATCGTTTTGCTATTTTTTTTAGGATATGTTGTGTAGCTTCCTTTAAGATGCATTTTATGGGCAATACATAGACACATGTGTACACACACATATGTAGTATTTTTCACAGACTTTTGGTTTTCAGATACTGAGTATAGCCTTTTGAACTTCTATCATACTTTCTTGTGAAAGGATTTCATAGCCTATTTATTATTTGAAATACCAAACAGAAATCAGTATGGTCCCAGCATTTTAAGATACTTGATGTCATCTTTGGAAATACCTTAGACATTGCAAAAAAAAGCATTAATAGTCATGGTATAGCCACTAAAGAGCAATTCTGAAATTACTTAATCTGATGAATTGATAGCAATCAGTCTTTGGCTATAGATAACTAGATAAGTGAGAATTTAGAGATTGAATACGTGAGAGCTCTTTTAATGATTTTCAGGATCTCAAATACGAAGCAAAATAAATTCCCCTGTGCCCTAAATTCTTACAAAGTGGTATTTTGACTAGGTTTGAGCCACCCCCCAGGGCTAGCAATACTTGAAAGTGTGACTAGGCTTAACCTCTTAGTAGGTAGTCCACAGTAAGTAATCCTTTCAAATACACATCTTGCTAGAAGTTCCTTTCTGAAGGAAATGATTAAAGATAATATGATGTGTACAAGGAATTCTGGGACTTGTAGTCAGGAAACCAGAACTTTAATCTGGACTACTCAAATTTGTAACTTTAGGCAAATCTCTCTTGACTTTCCAGGCTTTAGTTTTTTGTGGTTTTGTTTTGATTTGGTTTTTTGTTTGTTTTTGAGACAGTCTTGCTCTGTCACCCAGGCTGGAGTGCAGTGGCATGATCTTGGCTCACTGCAACCTCCACCTCCCGGGTTCAAGTGATTCTCTGCCTCAGCCTCCTGAACAGCTGGGATTACAGGCGCCTGCCATCAGGCCCAGCTAATTTTTGTATTTTTAGTGGTGACAGGGTTTTTACCAGGTTGGCCAGGCAGGTCTCGAACTCCTGACGTCAGGTGATCTACCCGCTTCAGCCTCCCAAAATGCTGGGATTATAGGCGTGAACCACTGCACCTGGCCCTGATTTGGTTTTTAATCTGTCAAATGGTAAGTGTTGGGTTACGTGAATAATGGGTGTTTTACCTACACACTAGAAATAAGAATATGAATAAGACCTATACTAAATTTTCTAGCTAGATTTTGTAAATTCTGAACAAAATCTGTGTGCCTTTTAATCTTTCCTGTAATCTTTTCAGAATTTGTCTTTAAAATTATATATGTATATATTTGCTTCTAAGTAAACATTATTGGCAGTAGTTTTGATAGGAACTTTACTCCAAGTATATTGACTTAGTAGCTATGTTAGAAAGGTTATTGCTTAGTTTGTGGAAATAATCCAAGCTGGGACTTTGATATTTGCATTTTCATTTAGGTTCCACTATTTTCTTTTTGATTAAAAAGTATAATCCTATTAAATCTGAAATATTTTCTTACAGTGATCCATACGTGAAACTTTCATTGTACGTAGCGGATGAGAATAGAGAACTTGCTTTGGTCCAGACAAAAACAATTAAAAAGGTAGGTGTTGATTTTTAACTCATCTTCATTTAAGTCATAATTTAATTCAGTTATACACAAAAGGGCATAATGCCCTTTTGGTCAAGGATGGACTATTTACACAGTGGGAGTCCCATGAGACTACAGTGGAGCTGCCGTGTTCGAGTGCATCACTTTTTATCTTTTTTTAAATTTATTTATTGAGACATAGTCTTGCTCTGTCACTCAGGCTGGAGTGCAATGGTTCGATCTCAGTTCACTGCAACCTCCGCCTCCTGGGTTCCAGCCATTCTCCTGCCTTGGCCTCCTGAGTAGCAGGGATGACAGGTGCCCACCACCACACCTGGCTAATTTTTTTAATATTTTTGGTAGAGACGGGGTTTCACCATGTTGGCCCGACAGGCCTCAAATTCTTGACCTCAAGTGATCTGCCTGCCTTGCCCTCTCAAAGTGCTGGGATTACAGGTGTCAGCCCCTGTGCCCAGCCCACTTTTTATCTTTTATACTAGATTTTCATTGTAAGCATCTTTCAGTATTAAATCTATAACTTTTCCAAGACTTTTCAGTACTAACCTAAGATAGCGATTCAGGTTTTTACTTAAATGCCTACAAAAACAGTATTCTGAAAATGTCGTAAGTTATACCATTTTTTTTCTTGCACAGAATACAGCAAAACAAAGATTTGTTTTTGTCTTCTTATGTTTCACAAAGAAAGTTAAAATAATTTAAAATACATTTAATGAAATGGAGCGGTTTGTGGAATTGGTAGGCACATGAGGAATAGTTTAACTTGAAACAACTACGCTTAAAGGAAGCAAAATATTTGATTAGCTACATGGAAACAGAAAATATATTAATAATAAAGCTATACGTTTATGTATATATCTTATTTTCCTAGTTTTTAGGTACAAGATTTCATTAAAAATTTGTTTCCGTAAGTATGTCATTCATTCAATCATTTATTTCTTTGGAGACGGAGTGTCACTGTCACGCAGGCTGGAGTATAGTGGCACAATCTCGGCTCACCGCAACCTTTGCCTCCCAGGTTCAAGTGATTCTCCTGCCTCAGCTTCCTGAGTGGCTGGGATTACAAGCTACTCAGGAAGCTGCCGGCTAATTTTTGTATTTTTGGTAGAGATGGCGTTTTGCCATATTGGCCAGGCAGGTCTGGACCTCTCGACCTCAGGTGATCCACCCGTCTCAGCCTCCCAAGGTGCTAGGAATATAGGTGTGAGCCACCATGCCTGGCCAATAAGTATGTCTTAATTTGACTATCTCCATGTATTTATAGGCATGTGCAATATATATATGTAAATATTTTTTACCCTGTATTTGGAGGCTTTATTGAAGATGCATGTTCTCTAATAAAAATACTTGACTGGATGCGGTGGCTCACGGCTGTAATTCTAGTACTTTTGGAGGCCAAGGCTGGCAGATCACTTGACCCCGGGAGGTTGAGGTTGCAGTGAACCATAATCATGCCACTGCATTCCAGTCTGGGCAACAGAATAACCTGTCTCAAAACAAACAAACAAACAAAACCTCAAAAACAAAACCAATCCCTTTCATCTCTGTTTTAGTATTATTTATGGATTACTGTGATTTTTTTCCTCACCACCTTTGGAGGCAGGTGGTTAGACAGTCTTAACACTTTGATGAACATTTTCTGGACAGCACGAATGCTTTAAAAAATTATAGCTCTCTTGCTGCCATGCAGGCACCCAGGATCTGTGGCCAGGTCCTTTTGTTGTTAGGAACTGTAACTGCAGTGTGTCCTCCACTTGACATCGGGACCGGCATTAAAAATCTGTCTTGCAAACAGGAGCCAGTACGGAGGCCATTGTTCCTTGTGTTAGGCGTTCTTGCTGGTTCAGTTTCTAGGTGAGTGGGGGCTGCCTAGAAGGCTCACCAGGAAGGCAGCTGGGAAACTTGACTGCCTGCTGGAGGCCGAGCCAGGACCAAAGCCGGCAATTGGGGCTATTGCAATGTATTTCCTTCCAAAGGGAGGTCCTCCTTCTCCCTCCCTTTCCACGGTCGAGGGTGTAGCTCTGCAGCTGGGTTTGCTCTGCTTCTCCTGCTGCCCGCCTCCTGGTTTGTATGCCTCTGCTGCTTTCGGGTGCGAGAACTGCCATCATCCTCCTCTCCTTGCAGTGTTGTGACTGCTGCTTCGTTCATTTTGTGCTCTCTCGTCTCATTGCTTTCCTCCCCTGTCATTTCCCATGTGCATTTCCATGAAGCAGCCCTCCGGGACTGCAGCCCGAGGCAGGCCAGGCCTGCCACTCCACTCCCCTCCCCTCCCTCATTACCATCCCTGGCTTCATTCATATGGGAGAAAAGTATGAACCCCGTTATTCAGGATTGAATTCACTGTGGAATTGTGGGTGGGGAAAGTGCTGAATTTTTAAAAACGTCAGTTCAGTGTTGTGTGAGCTCTGTGTTTCCTATTTTTATGTGGCACTCTATTGATTTTTTTTTCTTCTCCCTGAACTGATCTCTTAAAGGAAATAGGTTGATAAAGATAAATATCATTTTGACTAAAAATATCTGTCGCTGTTGGTGAAGTGATGATTTTTCTGTCTCAGATTTTTACATACAGTTTTTAAGAGCTGTGTTTCGGAGCCTTATGCATGTGCAGATGCATGAACACACATGTACGTGTCTTTCTTCCTAGAACATGCCTCCTCTTAGTTTTGGGGGATGTCTGGCAGTCCTTTCCTCCATGCTGAGGACAAAGGTATCCTTGCCATCTTGTGGAATGTATTTTTCAGTAAATTGATAGAAAGATGAACAGATGGATGAATGGAGAGGAAGACTGAAGGATAAGTGGATAAGTATTTTTTAACCTGGTTTTTTTGGGGGAGAAAAATTTACTTTTAGTTTGTATTTGGCCTTTTTTTTCTTGTTATAGAGAAAATCTGATCCTCAGTATTGCTCTCTATAAAATGTTCTTTAGATTTCAATATTTATATAAACAATGAACACATTCAACCTTCCCCTACCTGCTTCATTACTCTGCGTAAAGATTTGTAGCAGGTAGAGGGATGTCAACCAAGTTCATTTCCTTCTCGGTACAGTAATCATATCAATGCTAATTTGTTGAAGGAATGTTTTATATTTTTATGATGACTCTTTCCAGGCCTCTGATGTTTTTCCTTCTGGTGATAGCAGCAGTTTAAGGTTTCATATCTATGAAGCATCTGTTTCATAAATACATCCCCTCCCCCAGTACTGGTCTCAGATAATCGACTAAATGCTTCTTTTAGCTTTTTTTAATCAAAAATATGTTTAAGCAAATATGTAGTCTGTCTTGCAATAGCAATTGCTAATGTTTGAAAGACTCAAAGATATTACAGGTTAATTTCTCTTCCAGACGCTGAACCCAAAATGGAATGAAGAATTTTATTTCAGGGTAAGTTTTTCATTTTTTGCCAATAATTGTTATTGATACATTTAGGTCAGTTATCACAGTCGATTTGTCTTTAGGAAAAGCTCTTAAATTTTTAATGAGACATTCCTGTTAGGATGAAAAATAGATAGCTTCCTAATGTGTTCCAAATTTTGAAAGACTGTAAGTAGTGGTCACAGACTCTGGACTTCTTTCACTGGGTAGTGTTTTGGAGAAGTCACAAGAAAATTATCCAAATACCGTGTTTCATTTTTGAATTCAAACTTTTCTTTAAGAAATGAGATAAAATATCATTCATGAAAATGTTTTAATTCTAGGAGGTGGATTACAAAATATTTTAGAGTAAAATACTAGAGGCAATATGATTAAAAAGAAATATAAAAATTACCAATTATGTTCTAGTTAGGTAAATTTTGGTAATTGAAATATTGAGTGCATACACACACACACACACACACAACATAAAATTACTTCTGGACTACAACCTTTTATATTTAATATTTAAAAGAGCTGTAGGTCGAAATGACTGAAATATGTGAATTAGCAGAGATTCGTGCTTGGTGATCATTTGTGGTTGTTGCTGTTTTACTACTGAAATTGTGGAAATAATTAGACTGCTCAGTTATTTATTGAAAAAAAGGGCTTTCTCTTCAAGGCAAAAGTATTTTAATTGTACAGCTGTGACATTAAAAACTGGAGGTATCCAGAAATAACCCAGGTCTTCTGATTAGTTCGGATTCCCAAAGGCCAATATTACCTTGAGACCCATTTTAATTGGTCCTGATGTCTTCCTCTCAATCACGATAGTATTTTTTGTGCTCCAAACTAGACTACTGCATACAGCATCTGCTTTCTATTATGCTCAGATTTTAAATATGGCACTGATATTTTAATACTTGGTGAAATCCTGTGTACAGCCTCATGTACATGGATGTATTTGAAATTACCCCTCAGAGGACTGAAAAGCTACTAGGGGCTGATAGATGTTCTTGGCCTTTAGTTAACTCTCAAATAAAACTTTCCACTTGTGAACCTCTGAAGTGTTTAGACTCCTTTCAGTGGAACACTGGCCACAATTACATAAATGTTAGTACATCCCAAACTTTTCTCAGCTAATCTTGGCAGTAGGCACACTTATATTCTATTTTTCTTGATTTTTCTTAAGGTCTTTTTTTTTTCCTTTTTCTTTTTTTTTCTTTTTTTGAGTTGGAGTCTTGCTGTGTCGCCAGGCTGGAGTGCAGTGGTGCGAACTCAGCTGACTGCAACCTCCGCCTCCCAGGTTCAAGTGATTCTCCTGCCTCAGCCTCCTGAGTAGCTGGGACTATAGGCGCCTGCCACCACGCCCAGCTAATTTTTGTATTTTTAGTAGAGACGGGGTTTCACCATGTTGGCCAGGATGGTCTCCATCTCTTGACCTCGTGATCTGCCTGCCTTGGCCTCCCAAAGTACTGGGATTACAGGTTTTTAAGGTCTTTATATTTACTCAGTTTACAAATTTTTATGGAGTGCCTACTATGTGCCAGCTCCTGCCTGTAGGTTGTGGTTGCATTGGTAAGCAGTGCAACCCTTCACAGAGCTTCTAAAGAGATAGCAAACCCCGTCTGCTTGTTCTGTCGTTAGGCTGCAGGCAGACCACGGGACTGGAAGCACAAGTTGAGCTCTCTGGGCTTGTATGGTCAAGTGTTATTTCATGCCATTCTCCACCATGAAGCAGCCAGGGCCTAGGTCACCTCTCTGGCTTTACCATTTAGATCCTTTATGACCCTGGAAAGGCCACCTGAGGACTCAATCTCCCTGAGGCCCTTATCTCTCACATAGGAGAGAGAATCCTTACTTGAAAGGGTTGTTTCTAGGATTTGCATGCGATGATATACATGAGAACATGTAGCGCTTTGTCACACACATGGTTGGCGATTAGTAAATGATACCTGAGTTGGGAACATGATATGGGCCATTTTTGTGAGTTTTGGGTAAAGAAAAAGAAGCAAAAGGATATTGAAAGCCCAATAGCTCTGACATTGCCCCACAGTTCCAGGTCTCTGTCATGGTTCACAGCCTAGGCTCTAAAGACAGGCAGGATATACCTAGTGCAGGTCCTGGTTGCCCCATACACTAGCTGTGGGCTCTTGGGCAACTTACTTCACCCTCAGGATCTCGGCTTCTCATTTGTAAAATTGGGTATTAGTTACACATCATAGGATTGCTGTGACGATTAAATGAGATCATGGATTGTTGATATTTAATAACAAGACAGTGCCTAAAAAATAAGCTCACAAGCTGAGCACAGTGGCTCACACCTGTAATCCCGGCACTTTGAGAGGCCAAGGCATGCAGATAGCTTCAGTCCAGGAGTTCAAGACCAGTCTGAGGAACATGGTAAAACTTCATCTCTACAAAAAAAAATACAAAAATTCACCAGGCATGATGGTCCAAGCTACTCAGGAGAGTGAGGCTGGAGGATCAGTTGAGCCTGGGAGGTTGAGGCTGCAGTAAGCTGTGATCATGCCATTGCAGTCCAGCCTGGGCAATAGAACAAGACCCTGTTTGTCTGTCTACCTGTCTCTCTCTCTCCCCCTCTCTCTCTCTCTCTCTCTCTCTCTCTCATAAGCTATTACAATCTTCTTCATTATTTTTATCATTACTATTACTGCCATTAGCCCTAAGAGATAGCCTCAGGCATAGACGTTTTTGATCTGCAGTCATGAGAATGCCTTGTATGGAGGTTAGGAACTCTTTAACAGTATTTACAACTATCCTTTCTTATTTTAGAAAAACAGCTAAGATGTTTTTTTGCTATGCCTAAATTCGGGGCAGAATAATATAGAAATCAGTAAGTAATAGGAAATTTGATTTAGTACACATAGAATTTCCAGAACAGTAGGATAATTGTTCATATTATACAATTGAGTTGGGTGCATTGTAAAGCAGTATTTTATTCTTTCTGTTCCTTATGTCATTGTTCGAATGATTCCTGCTCATTTAAAAAATGCTATTTACGTTCCTCATAGGTAAACCCATCTAATCACAGACTCCTATTTGAAGTATTTGACGAAAACAGACTGGTAAGTGGGTTCCTGTATTTGAATTTTGCTTCATTTTTTTATAAACTGGGTTTTCAGAGCAGCATCTTTAAAACTTTGTGTTTATGACAGTATATGTGTCCAAAGCGAAGACTATTTTTGTCCCACTGCTAGTTTGACATTCAAAATCCTAACAAATACTTTTATGTTGCTAGGATAAAAAATGTATTTGTATGTATGCATTGTGTGTATTTTTATCGCAATTAATGTTAACAAAAGTCACTGGTGATAGTATCAGCCCGTATGCTCATGATGTAGCGTTGGGAATATGGTAGGCAGATCTCTAAAGCGACCATCAGGAATGTAAACAAACTTTGCATGGTTTTAAATGAAAGCCAGGCCATAATACTGGAATACGTTCAATAGCAAATCTATGGTAATTCTCTCGGGGGAAATAAAAATCTAATTAACAGTGTATAGCAAAAAGTGAATCTACATTTAGCAGGTAAAGTCAAGCTGTATTTTAAAAGTGGTTTCTTTCTCAAGAGAGATTCTTAGAAAGTACATTTAAAAAACCAAAGATATGTCTGAGGCATATAACAGATATAAACTAACATTTTATATATAGATTGATATATATAAAATGTCTGTAAAGATCGATACATACATAACTGATATAATTATGATTTCATTTTATTTTATTATTTTTATTTATTTATTTTACAAAAAGCGTTTCCCTCTGTCGCCCAGGTTGGAGTACAGTGGTGCAGTCATAGCTCACTGTCACCTCAAACCCTCTGGCTCAAGCAGGCCTCCAGGATAACTAGGATAGTCATGAGCCACTGTGCCTGGCCAGATTTCATTTTAGAAATGGCATTTTGGAAGCACATTTTGCTTTCTTAACTAACTGGAATGTGTACATAAGTAGCTGTGAACCAAGTGTTCCAACTATGAAAATGAACACTATCGTGTGAAGTCCTTAAGGTACCTTCAGAAGCGACATTGTAATTCAGTGCAGTCAGTCATTCTCAGATTTACCCTCCCTGAAACTTGTATGGTATGTTGACTGGTTAAAAGGTGTTTTTAAGAAGCTTTCTGCAGAATTCAATTGAAAGTCCAGATTTTTTAATAGCTGGACGTTAAAAGAAGAGTTGAGCTGGAGAAGCCTGACACAAGAGCTCCTTTTCTTATGATAACATGAGAAGAACCAGCTCTAGAGCCTTTATATAAACATATCCGTCAGTGCAGTGCCAGGGTCTGACCTGCTGGCCTCCTAAGTCCCAGCCCAGTGGTAGTTTGGGAAAGTATTGAATTTCATATGACTAATATTATTCTCCAAAAGAGAAAATTAACAGATTCTGGCCTACCATTCTAGTATCTTTTCCATTAAAGCATGTTGGGTGATGAACAGTTGTAACTAAACCACTTTTGTTGTATGTGTAAAAGTACTTTCTTGTGAGACTGAATGAGAGCTTCTGCTGAGGATGTGGTTCTTGTCTCTCCATCTCTCATCTAGTGAGGACCAAGTGAGTTAGGCAGCATCCTGTAGCATAGCAGTACGTTTCTGGAGACATGGGTGCATTTGTAGACTAATCCTTATTCTCCGATTATTGAGTATAATGTCTCTTCATTAACATGAGGAAAGGGTCAAATATGAGGAAAAATGGCCTCTTGTTTGATGTGTTTTGGTTCATTATTTTCTTCTATTAAGAGGAATTCACTGTTAAAACATTGTTTCCCATTTCCATATCTGAAATAATGACCGTAGTTGAGGTGATCTTGCCATGCGTCTGAAATTATACTTCCAAACAGAAAATGACTTTGAATACAAGACTTTTAAGAAATCCTGTATGAATACAAACTTTTTTTTTTTTTTGAGATAGAGTCTCACTCTGTTGCCCAGGCTGGAGTACAGTGGCACGATCTCAGCTCACTGTAACCTCTGCCTCCTCGCCTGCCTCAGCCTCCCAAGTAGCTGGAACTCCAGGTGCACACCACCACACCCAGCTAATTTTTGTATTTTTAGTAGAGACAGAATTTCACGATATTGGCCAGGCTGGTCTTGAACTCTTGACCTTATGATCCGCCCACCTCAGTCTCCAAATGCCGGGATTACAGGTATGAGCCACTGCGCCCAGCTGAATACAAACTTTACCTGAAAAATTGTGTTTTATATTGATGCCTAGTTTTGCCCCAGGCCATCTCCAATGTGATTACTATGGAAAGAATGCTGGTGTTACTGTTTTTTTTTCTTTGTTGGCTATTAACCAGCGCAGACAATATGTGACTATGGTAGTACTTGGAAGTTTTAACATTACACAAATTAGCTTCCATTCCTCTCATAGAGGTCATTTTTGGCATTTAAAACACATGCTTTTAGAAAACAGATTTGGATGTATGTAAACACAGGGTTAATCCACCACACCCTGGATGCTAGAGCTGTTGACAAAGTCATGCTTTGCAGATTTTAAAATAAACTTTTTGTCAGTCTTAGAGCTTGGTTCCCCCCCCCCCCAATAAACCTCTTTGTTAAGTAACTGATGTTTCTGGATCATAGAAAATAGTAAGTTTAAAATACATCAATACATTTAAAATACAGCAATACATTTCCAAGCAAACTACAAATCCGATGACAGTTTTTTGAGTGTGCACTTTTCCTTTTATTTCTTAGGTCCTTTTTGGTCCTTTGCAAACATAGCAAGATTCCATATTTGTATCCCAATTGTGGTAATATTGCTGACTTCTTACTGGGAAACAGCTCTGGGCAGCATTTCTTCTGTATGGTATTTAAGTTACATTATTACAAAAAAATAAAAAAATCATCCACATGCACTCCCTTCAATTTTCCTTTTTTTTTTTTGATTGATGTTTTCTCTCCTTCCTGACATACAGGAGACAATGTCTTCTCCAGCTGTGTTCCTTCTCTCTGGTACTATGGCGTCCGATGGTAATATATGAGCTACACACATGTATACACCTTTTGAATGAAAAATGTTCTGATAGCAGGAAGCCTCTGCTGCGCCCACTGGTTGTGTAACAAATCGCATCCCCTCCCCTCCACGTAGCTATTTTGTTACTTGTAGATCCTGGTGTAATTATTTAGCATTAAACGGACACTTAACTCTGTGGGGTGTGTAATCATATTCATAGTACTGTTTAATTAGTTTGCATTCCGTCATGGTGGTGTAGTGATGTCATAAATAACAGAAACATTGTAGCCAATGTTTGGGAAGGGGTTTACCTGGTGACCAAGCCGTATTTTACTTATTATTCCGTGTGGTGGGAGGTGGGGAAATACCGTGTGTGCTGTGTTGACTGCCAGGTCTTTACACTGGTTAGAGTCCCAGCGCTGTGCCCCGTTGGGAAAGAAATGCCCTGCGAATGTGATGTGGTTAGATTTATAGCAGCGTGGCTTGCAGTGTGTTTGCTGCCTTAGTCAGCTGTGAGAGCGCCCTGCTGGGGCCACTCCTTTCTGATGGAAAAGCAGCAGCTGGGAAGGTGCTGTTTCAGGCTCTTGCTGTTTAAAAAAAAAAAGCGAGTGGGGGAAAACTCCTCTAAGTCCAGAAGCTGGCATTGGAGGGGGAGAGTGCGGTCATGTGGTCTGGCCACCCTACCCTCTGTCACAGTGTGGATGAGAGCTTTTTGCTCTTACCCAATCATGCCTGGAATGCCGCTTGCCACTTGGGTTATTTCTGCTATCTGTCGCTCCTGGTGCCGCAGTGCTAACGGTTTGGCAGATGGGACACTTTTTCTTGGAGTTTGTGTCTTTGGTTTGTGACTGCTGGCAGTGCCGGGCCTGTTGTTGCCGCTCGCCCTCGCCCTCCTGGCCCCCGTGGTCACCATGGCCCATCGGCTTCGGTTTCATTTTGGCTCTGGTCGCAGCAACACAGCCCCCGAATCAGAGATCCTAGACCAGGAGAGAGAAGACGACTTTTTCATGGCATTCCACACCCTCCCGCGGAGGAGCAGCCCGCACCCCTTCGCCCAGAACGGAGCGGAGGATGGCGGCGGCGGCCTGCAGGGAGGCGTGGGCGCGCTCAAGCGGAGCTCGTCCATGTTCATCCCGCAGCTCCTGACCAGCGTCGACGCCCGCCCCACGTGCAGTTCCTCCGTGCAGATCTCCCTGCAGCGCAAGGCCACGGACGGGGCCACAGACGGGTGCGGGCCGCCCGAGGGCGCCGACGATGGACCTCCGTGCGCCGCGCCCAACTCCGGGGACCAGGCCTCTGCCACCGCCACTACCAGGGCCTCGCCCCAGAGCGGCTCCCGGGAGCCCGCGCTGAGGGACACCTGTGGGAGCTCCCCTCCGAGGGCAGCTCGGGACCCGGGGCTACAGGTCAACGGCACGTGCGGCCGCCGCGTGCGGTGCCCGGGCCCTATGGACTGCGCGGAGGAGGCCACCCCGGGCCTGCGCATCCAGCACCGCGCCTCCAGCGCCGACGTGCGCCAGGTGAGGCTGCTGCCCCTCAGCCCTGACAGCCAGGGCGGCCCGGCCGCGGCAGAGCCCAGGCGCTGGTCTCTGCAGCACGTTCCAGATGCTTCTGGAAGCTCCGGGAAGCGGTGTTTTGTCTTCCAGTTGCAGCAACCCCAGCAAGGCGCTCCGGGGCCGGGCGGTGACCTCAACTTTGGCTTCACTGGCACAAAGGGGGACAGGTTGGTGAGGTATCCCCGCATTCGGCTGGAGAGGAGCACCTCATACCCCACGCAGCCCCGAAGCGAGCGAGGGAGCCCCACGGAAGATCGGGGACCCCCGGAGGCACCACCTCGGGTTGGCAGGATGGCTCCCGAAATCCGCAGGACGAACTCCGTGGAGAGGACTCCACAGGGCCAGGGGTGCACATTTAAAATCAGGCAGGATCAGAATGCAGGGCAGCAGCATTTTAGAATTCTGGTAACCCGGGGGCCAGAGGAAGCTCCCCAGAATCTGGAGGAGAAAAGTGCCAAAAGCCCTGTTTCCACGGGAGCTGACGCCACGGTAAGTTCACAGTGTGTTTACATGTGTTTACTGATTCCAACCTGGATGCTTACTCTGTGGCGTAACC